CCGTCATCTCGAGAAGACCGAGAAAGAAGAAGCACACCCAACCTTCCCCCCCCCCCCCAGGTCATCATGAACAACCACGACGAGGACACCGAGTTCAATGACATCCTCCGTGCGCGTGGCATCATCCCCCCCAAGCGTTCGGCTGGTGAGCTCGAGGTTTCCGAGGACGCCATCGAGGCGCTCCTGGACCACACCATTGCCCGCCACGCTGACGGTACCGCCCGTCTGGAGCGCATGAATCTCGATGAGCTGGATGAGGTCGAGGATGACTTTGAGGAGACTCTCCTGATGGAGTTCCGGTGCGTAGATGTCGCACGCCATGCGAAAAACACATGCACACGCACACGGATCCAGCTCCACACCACCTCTATTGACACGGATGCATCCATGCACATTTGCCCTTTCCCCATCGATCACCCTCCTTCACAGTCAGAAGCGCATCGCCGAGATGCGTGAGCTCGCCCAGCGTTCGCGCTACGGGTCCATCCAAGACATCTCCCAGACGGACTACGTCAACGAGGTGACCAACGCCCCGGCCGGGGTGCCGGTGGTCGTGCTGATGACCACGGCCCAGGGATCCACCGCCTGTCGCCTGGCCTCGGCTCACCTGGTTCAGCTGGCTCAGAAGTTCCCGGCCACCAAGTTCGTCCGTGGCATTGGGTCTCTCCTGGTGCCGGGCTACCCGGACGACCGGTGCCCCACCCTCATGGTCTACCTCAGTGGTAAGCCCATCCGCCAGTGGGTCGGTGCCGCGGCCCTCGGTGGCCTCAACCGCACTGTCGATGAGATGGAGTGGATGCTGAAGCAGGCCCGTGCCGTTGAGAGTGACATGGAGGAGGCTCCCCGGTCGTCGACTCGCGGCGGTGCCACCGCCAGCGATGCCCTGCGTAGCTCGATCTTCCGCTCGCGCGACCTCGGGGACGATGGCTACTGATCGGATGTTGGCCTCTCTCCTCTTTTGAGGGGAGAAAAAAAACAAGCAAAAAAAAAACAAAGCCGATTCCCCCTCCCTGTACTTGTGAAGTAGATGCCCCGCCCTCAACCCCCCCCCCCCCTCTTCAGGCCGGCCGGCCGGCCAGCGGGTGCACTCCCTGGCGGAGTACACCAGAAAGGAGGAAAGCACATGGCCATGCGCGACAATGCTACTTGGCCTCAACTTCATCCCCCCCCCCCCCCCCCTGCTGCCCGGGTGGTGCTTGGACGAAGGAGGGAGCCGCGCCAGCGCGAGTAGTTCCACCGCGCCCTCACGCATGTCTCTCTCCCCCTCCATCGCCATGGTGTAATACAAAGACCAATCTTGCTCGTCTTGTTCACAGCTTTGCCATCCCTCTGGGGACTTCCTGCTTTGTGGGCGCGAGGAGGCTGCCCAGTGGGTGGCCACACATGTTTCCGGTAGGTCACAAGGTGTATTTGGGTGTGGGGGGAACGCGCAAACATGAAGGTCGCGGGACCCCATGACGGGAGGATGGACACGAAAATATGGAGGGAGGGGAGAGGAAATGCGTGGCCCCCCGCCCTCGCATGGGCACTGGGTGCACGGAAAAATGCGCCACATGGCACATCCCTCAATACTCATAAAGCAGGGAGATGGCCTCAGCGCACTTGGCACGGACCGGAGCCGAATCGTCCTTCATCAGGTGGTCCAGCGCAGTGCAAACATGGTCGACACTGATCCCGGCGCGCAGGTCCGCCGAGAAGGTGGCCAGCTGCCCCAGCAGGTACCCGGCAAACAGAGCCGCATGAGCGCGCTGCCAGGCCCACTTGCTGCGCATGGCGTTTGTGATGTCGTTCAAGTAGGAGTTGATGTGGGTGGGGAAGTGCTTGATCTGAGACACGAGCGTACATGGTGTGCGTGGGGGAGGGGGAGGGGGGGGGGGGTTGCACGGAAGAAGGCCCTGGTTAGAAGACGGAGAGTGAAAGAAAGAGGGGGAGGAAAAAAAAAGGCAAACATGATGGCGCCCGCCCAATGGGAACATGTGTCGAATGACACAAGCAAACCCCCCGCCCAGGGACTGGCTCTCTTTTGACGTACCAGCAGCGAGGTGAACTTGTGGGTGAACTCGCCCACCTGCAGCGGCTTCGACTCATCCAGGGCCGCCTCGAAGAACTCGGTCACCGGTGCGGCCGGCAGCAGCGGGGCAAACTTCACAAGAGTGCGCTTGGTGGCCGCAACCACCTCCGGACTCTCATCGCTCAGGTGCAGATACATGGCCATCATGTTCATGTGGATCTGCGCCAGGAAGATGCTGCAGCAGAGGCTATCCTCGGCACCAAAGCGTCCGAGTACACCGAACAGCTCGATGGACGCGGCCCGCACGTGGTCCGTCGGATTCTCGAAGAAGGGCCGCAGCCGGTTGCACACATTCACCAGCATGGGAATGAAGTAGGTGGAGTCCACCACGGACAGCACCTGCCGCAGGCCCTCCATGGCGCTCATGGTCATCAGTAGCCCGGCCTCCTCGGCCTCCTTCTTCTCGGAGCTGCTCATGCTGGAGGTGGTCTGCTTGACCGGGTCGTCCAGACCAGCCAGCAGGGCCGACAGCAGGGTCGTGGCATAGGTGTTGACACTGCGCGCGCCGCATTCCGCCACATTGCCCAGGCCACGAAGGACCAGGACACGCACACTGGGATGGTGATCCGCCTGCCGGGCCAGTAGCGCATTGATCAGGACCCCGAGCAGCTCATCCATGGGCGAAGGTCCGCCGGAGGCAGCCGCCGCGGCCGAGGCAGCAGCCGCCGCCTTGGCAGCCTTGGCCGCCTTGGCAGCCGCCGCCAGACCAGCCTCACTGGCGCCCGAGCCGTCCATGTCAATGGTGGCCGAGCTGGCCCCGGCGACCGAGCCCCCGGCAGAGGCCCCATCATGGCACACCCCGATGAAGGCCGCAAAGATGGCCGACGCGGCGATGCGCTGGAGGTCGAAATTGCGCGAGAGGAAGGGCGCGAATTCCCGAGCCAGCTGCGCCACCAGATCATTGTCCTCCGGCAGCGGGCTCGTGGCGTACGCCAGGAACAGCGTCCGAGCAATGGCCGTCAGGGCCTCCGTGTACACGGCCACATCCTTGGACCCCAGGGAGTCGCGAACCTCGGCCACCACGCGAAGGACCTGCACCGCGGGATCCTCCTCGGCCTCTTCGGAATCCAGCACCGAATCGCGCAGACACTCGAACAGAGCCACCAGAGCATTGATGGTATCCGCGTTCAGGTCGCGGCCGAAGCAGCTCCCCTGCACCAGGTCCATGGTAGACCCAATGCGAATGAGCAGCCCAGCCACCAGGGGGGCCGCCTGCTCGCGCGACACCGCGCGAATCTCCCGACCGCGGGCCTCAAACATGGTCCGCAAAAGCAGGGTCGCCGAAGCCGGAGCATGGGTAGCCTCCCGCTCGAACTTCATGTTGATGCCGCTGCTCTTGAGCGGCTTCTCCTTGTATGGCTGCGAAGTCAGCAGCACATCCAAGTAATGCCGCATCAGCAGGCCATTCAGCTTGCCATCCTTGGCCAGCGACTGCAGCGCCCGGTTGACATGTGCCGGGTGGGGAAGCTCCGCCTGGGTTAGGAAGCAGTCCGCCACCGGGACCAGGTGATGCGCAGTCAGAGTACGCAGCGCGTGCAGTGTTCCGGAGATGGTGGTCTGGTGGTTGGCCCCGCCGGCCGGGGCGACGACCGGCACCTTGCCGGATCCCGGCGACCCGGGCTGGCTGCGCGCCTCCAGCTCATACAGCTCGCGCAGGGCAGAAGTGATGCCAGCAAAGATGGTCGCAACATGCTCAGCCACCTGGGCTCCGCGCAGGCGCAGGACACCATTCAAGACCAGGCACACACCACTGGCGGCATTCGGCTCGCAATCCACCAGACCATCGAGAAGGCCCTTGATGAAGGGGAACAGCTCCACGGCAGTGAGCTGCCATACCACGGGGCAGAGGGGGAACAAGGCAAAAGGGCCATGCGGATGGTCAGCACACGCACGTCAGAGGCGCCAAAAGGTGAAGGGAATAAATGAAGCAAGAGGGGGGAAGAAAGAAATGCCCAAAGGGGCGGGGGCAAGCCCATGTGCGCGCGCGCGCGCGCGCGTGCCCCCACACGAACATACCTCCGGCGCAATGACGCGCGCGAGGCCATGGATCGCCTCGAACTGCGTGGCCGAGTCGTCAGAACCCACACTATCACCGATGTCAATGATCCGCTGGATGAGCTGGCTATTGTCAAGCCCGGCACACAGGCTTCGGATCTCGAAGAGCTTGCTGATGCACTCATTGGCCGTCAGGCGGATCTCCAGGCTCGGGTCGGCGCAGCGGGAAATGAGTACCGCCAGGATGCCGACCAGCGCCACACGATCCTTGTCGGTGGTCGACAGCTCGAAGGAGGCACTGCCGCCATTCTCCTCGGCCTCGGCCTCGGCCTCCTCCAGCAGTGCATCCACCACATCGGTGAAAGACAGCAGCAGGGTGCCCAGCAGACGAATGGCCCGCTGACGGGACTCCAACTCGGCCGACGTCAGGTACGGCTTCAGGTAGGCGATCAGACGATCCAGCTGCACCAGCGTCGGCGTCTTGCGCACCAGCGCCTGGAAGATCAGGTCCACACCCTCGAGAACGGCATCCAGATGCTCGAGCGCCGGAGCCGAGGTTCCCGGACGCAGACGGATGACCACATCCAGCACAGCAGTCAGGAGGTCCTGCTCCTCCTGGGCCGGCAGCGGCGGGTCAAGCTGCAGGAGGTTGGCGATGGCCAGCAGCGAGGACACCAGCACCGCGTCCGAAGACTCCGGCACCCGGACCGGCTTGGCAGGCGGCGCCAGCGGAGCGGACCGCACAAATCCCGTCAGGGCCACAACCAGATCCCGACGCTTGGAGCACAGGTACCCCGGGCCAATGTGATCCACGTGCATGGCCCGTGCCAGGAGATCCACCGCCTGAACGAGGCTCTCCTTGACCACAGCCCGCTTGGCCGTGGGGAAGAGCGGCAACAGGTGACCGATGATGGCCACATCCAGGCGACTCTTGATCAGCACCCGGTCCGCATGGAGGGCCGCCTTGCCGAAGCACAGGGCCACCGTGCACTTAAGGAGCTCCGGGTCAGCGGCCCGGGCGCCGGTGGCCTTGTCATCGTCATTGCTGCCGCCGAAGAAGGAGAAGAAGCCGCCACCGCCGCTGCCGCCCTTCTTGTCGAGGATCATATTCTGCAGGGTGTCCTGCAGCTTGTCCAGAACCAGATCCAGGTGTGCCGCGGCGCAATGGCCAAAACCGGCTGCCAGGCCCTCGCGGTCCTCCTCGACACTGTGCTGCGCCATGTCCAGCAGGACGTCCAGACGCTCGCGCACATAGGCCTTCTTGGTGGACTTCTCGGTCAGCGCACCGACCAGCTTGAAGAGCATGGCCCGATACTGGCGCATGATGGCGGAGTCGCCACTGTACAGGGTCACCTGGGAACAGAAGGCCTCGCCCAGCTCGACCAGCCACTCATCATCATCCACCACCCCCAGCGTGCGAGTCAGCAAGCGCAGGATCATGTCCTCCCAGCGGGAGGCACTCCACTGGGCCATGTTCTCCGAACGCTCCTGCAGGCGCACGCGCAGCCGCGGGATCACCTCGTCCCACAGGTATGCCAGGGAAGGGTGGAAAATGGGCCCGGCCGCGCGCAGGAAGGCCAAAATGTTGTCACCAAGCTGGCGCTGGGCATGTGGCTGCGAAGCCAGGACCAGCAGCCGAGCAATGATGGCATGCGGCCGCGGGAGGTTCAGCAGCTCATCAAAGTCGATCATGTACTCCGGGCAGGGGCCGCGCGCAGCGTCCTTCTCCTCCTCGCCATCGGCCGCGTCATTGGCCTGGTCGTCATCGGCATCGACATCGTCCGAGTCACCGGCGCCGCGCTTGCGCTCGGCAATCAGAGACAGCGACCGAGCAACAACACTGGCCGCCGGGTAGTAGCCCACCGGGGTGAGCATCTCAAAGAGGTACGGCCACAGGACCCCCTCCATGTTGGAGATGGTGGTGGTCAGCAGCGACAGGATGTTCTCGCACATGCTGCGCAGCATGGCCGGCGTCACGGGGTCCGGATCGGCCTGCATGGCCTTGTTGCTGGCCAGGGCCTTGGTGTAGGCCTGCTCATCGGCCTCGGAGATGGAGCATTGCCGGACGATGAACTCCACCAGCAGCTGGCCACCCTCGAGCGAGAGGTAATTGTGCGAGGCCATGGTGACAATGACCTGGGCAAAGGCGCGGCGAACCTTGTAGCTGGTTTCCGGCAAGAGGGGCCGCAGGCCACTGACCACCACCGCCCGACGAGCCTGCATGACCCCGTCACAGGCATTGACCAGATGCTTGAGGATAAGCAGGGTCCCCACGCGAATGCGCTCGTCGCGCGAGTCGACGAAGCGCTGCAACAGGAAGAAGAGCACCTCGTCGGTGAATGTGTTGGCCATGATCTCCCAGCACCGGAGCATCTCGCTGAAATTGCGCATCAGCGCCGGGTTGACCGAGGGCTGGAGCTCCGGCGCGCAGATGAGCCCGTGCATGGTCTGCATCAGCTGGGGGATTTGCTGGTCGAGCGAGCGCGACCCACCGGCGGTGGCCACCTCCAACACCTGCACCAGGCCATGGGTGATGGGCAGCAGGAACTTCTCCTTGCGGTAGAGCTGCAAAATGCCGGAAACAATCCGCGGCAGATTGGCCTCGAACTGCTCGCGATCCATCGACTGGGACAGATGGCCGACGGCCTCGATGACGGCTAGGCGAAGCTACAGAGCAGGGGAAGGGAAAAATGCAGGCATGAGATGACGGTTGAAATCCGCCGAAGAGGCAGAGCAACAGGCAAACACCGTGACTCCCCGGTGGCTGGGAAAGGGGCAGCTCCCTGCCAAGCAGGATGGACCACGTACCGAGGGCTCGCTGCGGCCAAGCCACTGGCCGAAAAACATGTCGAAGCTGGTGTACACATCACCGGCGAAGGTGGATCGATCAATGCCGGCAGCCTGGAAGGTAGCCGGATCGGCCTCGGCCCGGAAGCGGTGAATGGCCTCGCAGAAGTGGCCAATAGCTGGGAGGGTGGGAGGGGGAAGCGCGAGGGGATTAGTCGGTCGTGATGAGCAGGTGTCTCGGAAGGTGTCTCAGAAGGTGTCTCTCGGCACACAGTGAGCGGGGATGGGAGACAGAGAGAGAGAGAGGAGAGAGGAGAGAGGAGGAGCGCACTGGAGGTGAACACCCAGCGGATGTTGTCATGCTTAATGAGGTTCAGCAGGGCCACCAACTTGCCAAAGATCTCCTTCAGATGGGGAACCATGAACAGGGGGTTGGCGACGGCAAGGTCACCGAGGGCCTTGATGACGAAGTAGTGCGGCAGCTGGCCGTGCGGCATGCGATCCAGCAGCGACTGCAACACAAAGGGAGCCTGGAAGATACCAAGCGACACGAGGAGCCCGCAGGCGGTGTTCTGCCAGTCGGCTTTGATCTCCTACGATGTGAGACGATCGCGGAACAGGAGGCGGAACATGTGAAGGGGGGGCAGGGGGGGGGGGGGGGGAATGGGCGAATGGGGTGATCAGAATCAGGAGGACAAGCAGCGTGAAGGCAAATGCGTGTGAAATTTTGCAATATTTGCCCGCATGCTGTATGTGGAAGAAAAAAGCACGCACGTCGGTGGCGGTCATCTCGCTGAAGGCCAGGCTGGCCAGGTCATGCGTCAGGGAGTTGGTGACACGATCGTGGTGGGATTCGATCAGCGATTGCATGATCGTGAGCAGGGCGATCCGGTGCGAGGTCGAGGCCTGCGAACATGGGAGAGGGGGAGGGGCAAGGCGGTGCAGCATAAAGGACACATGTTAATGGAGGTGACCAACCTACAGAGCAGAGGGACCGAGGGGCAGGGCGGGGTGGGGACGCACGCCGGAGTTGTTGGTCAGGTAACTGGCCGAGACCGAGAGAACCAGGTCCGGGTGGCGCTGGCCAATGTCCATCAGCGAGCGCTTGATCGAGTCGCGGGCAGCATTGTCGCGATCATTCAGCTTGGCCACCAGGGTGGAGACGAGTCCTGTGCCAGTGGGACGTGAGTAAGCAAGGCAGGGGGAGGGAAAGAGTAGGCGCGTATATGTGTGCGTGCGTGTGTGTGTGTGTGTGTGTGTATGAGAGGGAGGTTGTCGGAATGGGGACCTGGCGGCAGGGAGGGCATGAAAGGGAAGAGGGGCATGTACCGTCAATGTGGCCGCCAGTGGTGAGGACGGTCACCTTGCGGACCGGGGTCTCGGGCTTCTTGCTCGAGCCAAAGAAGGACATGGCCGCGGCGTGGGTGGGGGAACGCGCGCGTGCGTGTGCGTGCACGTGTGGATGGACTCAGCGGAGGAGGGAGGACAGGAGGGCGTATGCGGATATCTGAGAGGGAGGTGAAAGGGGGGGGGTAGGGGAGGGAAGGGAAGGAGGAGGCCGCTGGTGGGGTGGGCCAGGCGCCGTCGAAAGGGTCACTATGATAAAAGAAGGCCATTGGGCCACCACCACACGGGCGATCGCATGTTCGGCTCCGCCCCCCGTCACCCCCACCATCTCGAGGGAGAGCGAGGCAGGGAGTTGCGACCGCCGCCACCCAGCCTGAGGGGGCCAAGACCTGTGACCAGGGGGAGCGAGAGAGAAGGGCGGGGGGGGGGGGGGGGGGGAGACGCCGACCCAGACCCGGCCCCAACGGTGTCAGACACGCTCCCGGGGGATGGACGCCCGGAAATGAGAGCGGATGGGGTGGAGGGGTGGAAGTCACACCGGGGCCACGATGGCGCCCGGACAACGATCGCGCGGCGGCCACCGGAGAGCCGCCCAGGGAGTCGCCAGAGGTCAGGTTGCCCTGGTGCCCGCGCCAAGGAGGTCCCCTTCGAACCCCTCGGCCTTGTCCTCGCCCGCGCCCCACCCGGCCCAACAGGGAATGCAAGTTTCCAGCAACCCGTGGCCGGCACCCGCAACACAGCACCCTCGGGAGGGCAGGGCCTCCAGAGTCGGCGAGAATCGCAAGGCCCCCAACGTATGGCCCCCCCCCCCCCCCGCTCCCTCGCCCGACTCGGGAAACGGGAGGGCGAGCTGCCAGCTGGGCATAGAGGGGACTGGGGAAAAGAAAATAAACATCCGCCCACAGGGATACCACGGCGGGGGCACGAAAGCCGCTTGAGATCACTCATGTTCTCTCGCGGCCCCCTTTTCCCGAAGAGGCGCCCCCTCCGCGGCTGGGGTGTTGTGCGCGCCCTGCTTTGGGAGAGCCGATCGCAGCCTGCCGTTCGCCGGCCACACCCAAAAAATTACCGGGGATTGCCAGGGGGGGGGGCAGGGGATCGCCCTCCGGCCCGCCGCCCGCCGACCCCTGTCGGGATCTGGGGCCTGTATGCCGGCGGGGTTCGCCCCCCCCCCCCCCCCCGCTGCACCTGGAGCGTGGGCTGCTTTGTTCGGGGCAGTCACCGAGAGGGGGCAGGCCCGGAGAGTGGGTTGCGTGACCGGAGGCCGGGTCCGCCACTCGGCTCGCTCCGGGCACGCCTCCCCAACCCGAACGTGGAGGACCGGGTGCTAACCGACGAATCCCGGTGCTCCCGCAGCCTTAAGTCACCCCCCCCCCCCCCCCCAAGCACCCCGAGACACGGCAACTGGCGCCTGGCCGGGGGAGAGCTCCGAAGACGGATCCGGAGAAGCGGATTGTCTCCAGACCATGGGCTCCAGGATCTCTGGCCTGCAACACACATCCATGGCCGTCCGCCGGCCAAAGGGGAATCCACGGCAGAGGTGCGGCCTATCCGGCTGGCACCCGGCAGGCACCCAGGCCAGGCTTCCGCTCCCCCCTCCGCGGAGCCAAAAACTGGCGCTCGCCGCTTGGAGCCGGGAAAATCGAAATAACAAGCGAGGATATATTATTTCTGGATCACACCCCACTCATGTGTGCTGATTATGGTGTTTGTGTTGGGCGGCACGGGGCCAGCTCGGGGGTTGGGAGGTTTAGGGTTGACTTCTTGTTCCCCTCCCTACCGACGTGCTCCATGGCCGTCGGATGCCGTACACACCAGGGGGAGAGTGAGGCCGGGGGAAAGGAGACCAGATGCGGCGTCCTGCTTATGCTCACTTCGGCCCTGTGTGTACATCATGGGGCCCCTGGTTCGGGCCGCCATACTTGGCACCGGGCCACGAAAGCACGGTTCGTGGGGGCTTTCTCTGTCCTTCTCCGAGTCAGATCCCCCTATTCTGCTCTGCCTGAGAGCGTATACCCTTGGCGACCTCCCCCTTGGAGGGGAGGGCTATCGCAGGGTGTTCGAAGAGGGGGCGGGTGCGTGGGGCGCTCCAGAAGGAGCTTGATGGCCGCGGACCGGACCCTCGCGGAGCACTGAGTGGACGAGTGTCTGGGCCCCCTGGCGCGCATATCCGGTGCCGCGATATGCGTGTCCGGCGTACACGCCGCACGCACCGAGGGGAATCGGGGTACGTGGGGGCTGGGCGACCCGCTTTTCCATCAAACAACAAACCCGATGTCCGGGTCGACCCCCTCCCTCCACCTGGCCCAAGCAGGGTGGGGAGGGGGGCCGGGGCAGCGGGAGAGTTGCTGCCTCACCAAAGGCTGCGCTCCTCGTTCCAAGGCTGGCGACCCGGATCCTGGTGGGTGCACCAGGCCGGCCAAGGTGTGTCCCCGTTCCTCTCCAGCTTCGCTTGTTTGCATGCTGCCGTGGGGGTAGGGCGGTGGAGAAAGCATCGGGGGGGGGGGGGGGGGGTGAGGCTGCGGCGGTGTGGTGCGGAATTCTCTCACCCCCCCCCCCGGGCTGGCTGTCCCGTTGCCCCGACCCTGAGGCTGATGCGTGCATCCTCTGCCGGAGTCATCCCTCCCCTCGCCCGCAGCACCTTTGTCCAGATGTTGGTTGTCGCGAGGGGGACCGGGGGACGGGGGACGGGGGGGCGTACGGGCGCGCCGGCCACACAGGGGGAGGGGGGACTGCTTGTCCCCGGAGTGTGCACACACGCTCGCTCCCCCGATGCGCGGCGTTTACTGGCATGACGGGTCGCGCCAGGGGAGGGGGATATTTTTGGCTCACTCCGGCGCCCGGTCACCCCATTGGCCAGCCTCTCCGCTTGGTTTTTTGTCTTTTTTTGTTCAAATCCCGAAGCGAACGTCAAGATGGTACAATCCCCTTCTTGATTCTCGACCGCCCGCCTCCCCCCCCTTTCTTCGCCACTCCCCCCCTTCCCCTCGCGCCACCTCCTTCTTGCTCGCGCGCGCGCGCGCGCTTTGCCATCCCTCCCTCCCTCCTGTCGTGCCTTCCTTCTCGGATTCGCATATACACCCCTCCTCTCGATGCACGGAAGAGCGAGGGAAACGGACTTGGACTCGATAGGTCTCGCGGAGGGGCGGCCCTCGTGCTTGTGCGCGCCTTGCGGAGACGCCGCCGCCGTCGCCGCCGCCGCCGCATGCTGCGTGGGCTGCTCCTCTCTTTTCCTCGTGGCGTGACGAAGACCCTGGCATCTATCTCCCGTTTTGCCCCGTCTTCCGTCGCGCGCGCGCGCGCGCACATCCGCGCGGGCTCGTTGCCGTGTCTCCCGCCTGCTGTCCCCATGCCTCTGTGCCCCTGGTCTTCTGGCGCCATGCGCCAGGTCCCCTCTTCCCCGCCCCGGCGAGGGCAGTGTGTGAGGCCCTGGCACATGCACAGGCGGGGGGTCGAGTGGCGCGGGGCGCGTATGCAAGCGTGTGTGTGTGTGTGCGCGCGCGCGTGCGCGGGCCCGCGGAACGAAGCACCCCGTGCCCGTGTGCATGCGCCGCCCCTATCGTGCTCCATCCCCTCCCTCTGTCCCTCTCTCTCTCTTCTCTGCGCCGGTGGGACTGCCGACTTCTGGCACGGTCGTATCTACGCCCTTCCGGGGAAAGGAGGTTCCTGTCGGATGCACGGCTCTTTGTCGTGCATCCGATGTGCCCACTCCCCCTGTGGGGCGTATTTAAGCCCGTCCCCCCCTGCACTCTTGTCGATTCCCGACCTCCCCAGCATATCCTCCGCCCGCCTGTCTGCATCTTCGGATTCTCGCGCTTCTTGGCCGCTGACACCTCTCCCGTTCATCCTCCCTCTCTCTCTCTCTTCCCCCCTCTCCCCGGCCGAATCATGTCCCTTCCTTCCTCCCAGGCCGAGACTGCTGTTGCTAACAAGATGCGCGACCTGCGCATCGCCAAGCTCTGCCTTAACATCTGTGTTGGTGAGTCTGGTGATCGTCTGACTCGTGCCGCCAAGGTCCTCGAGCAGCTTACCGGTCAGACCCCCATGTTCTCTCGCGCTCGCTACACCGTCCGCCAGTTCAACATCCGCCGTAACGAGAAGATCTCCTGCTGGGTTACCGTCCGTGGCCCCAAGGCCGCTGAGCTCCTCGAGAAGGGCCTCAAGGTCAAGGAGTACGAGCTCCGCAAGGTCAACTTCTGTGACACCGGCAACTTCGGTTTCGGTATCGATGAGCACATCGATCTCGGTATCAAGTACGACCCCTCCACCGGTATTTACGGTCTGGACTTCTACGTCGTCATGAACCGCCCCGGCTTCCGCGTCGCCCAGCGCCGCCGCTGCAAGTCCCGTGTTGGTGCTCCCCAGCGCATCTCCAAGGAGGAGACCATCCAGTGGTTCCAGAAGACCGTGCGTCATGGCTCTCCCTCCCTCCCTCTCTCTCTCTCTCTCCTCTGCGTGTGCTCGCATATGTGCGCGAGCACATCCCCCTCTATTTGCCGCGCCCCGCCACTGACTCTCTTTTCCGGCTTGTGTCTGTTTGTGCCCCCTCTCGCCTTTCCTTTTCTCCCCCTCTTGCCCGGCCGGTGGTTCTCTCTCTCTCTCCCGCAGTTCGACGGTATCGTCCTCTCCCGCTAAATATACTCACGACGCGCGGCGTGTGTGTCCGCCTCTCTCTCTTTCAGCGGAGTGAGGGCGCGCCCCTCCCCCCATTACCTCACCCCACGGCTGGCCGCGCGAGTGTGCCCCATTCCGTTGTCTTCCCGTGCGGGGGGGGTTTTGCCCGTCCTTCCGTCCTGTGGAGGGAGCGAGAGACAGCTCTTGTGTCCGATTGCCCACCTTCAATTGATAAACGCCCTCGTTTTATCCTCCTCTCCTTTTTCTATGCGGCAGCGGCCGGGGAGAGACCCCCCCTCTTCCTTCTCTCCATGCGTGCCGCCGCCCTTTTTTCTTTGTGTGTGTGTGTGTGTGTGACTCTTCGCGTGCTCTCTGTCTCTCTCTCTCTCCCTTGTTTTGCTCCCCACACTGCCCTCTCCTGGGCTGGCCACTTTCATGCCATTCCATCTCTTTCATTTGGGGGGTGGTCTCCCCTCGTCCCTCTGCCGCGTGTGCGTGCGCGTAGCGCACATGTCCCAGCGAGAGGGTGTATGGGTGGGGTGGGGGGGTTGCACAATGTCAAGCAGCTGACGCTGGGGGAGGAGACGCGGGCAAAAGGGGGGCGGAGGGTGGGCGGGGGCCTGGGATTCCCTGTTTTTTTCCTTTCTTGCGCCTCTCGCCTCCTCTCTTCCCCTCCTCCAGAGGGGGCGAGACAGGAAATCGCCATCGCGATTGAACGAGAGGGGAGAGGGCCCCCACCCGAGACAAGAGGAAGCACTCTTCTCCAGCCATTTGCGTGTGTGCCATGAAGCCTCCTTCAACGGGTGTTGCAAAGACCCCGGGCCCGCTCCAGCCGGGTCCAGCCCCCGGTCAAGGACGATGCCTGTCGCCCCGGGAGGATCCGGGCCAGGCGGCCCGCCCCGGGAAGAGTGCCGCTCCCCCCCCCCCTTCGTTCCCGACCAGGTCGCTGCAAAGTGCGGCCGTGATTGGAGGGAAGGTGTGCCACGCCTGCTGGAGAACTTGTTTGCCGCAGCATCGCAGGTTGGACAGCCAAATGTGCATATTTACCAACCCGCCCCGGGGACCGTCACACTGGGCACCTCGTGACGCCACCGGCGTGAGCCCCTGTTGGAGCGTTTGCCCCTCCGCTAACTCGATGGTTGGGGCATGTCTCGCCCGTCCGACGGCACCTCATCTCCGTGGCCGATCATTAACCCAAGGCAGTTAACGAACTGCCGGAGTGAGGCCCCAGAGTCAGAGCCTGCAAAGTCCGGTGGCCGTGCTTGCTCATTGTCCCCCCCCCCCCCCCCCGCTGGTGCCGATCTCCGCTCCCCACGCTGACCAGCTCCCCGCCCCCTGCCTTGGGCGGCATCTCGCCCCTCCCCACGCGCGGGCCACTGGTTTGAACACATCGGACCTCGGCCATTCTGGCCAGTGGTTTCTCGCAGGCAGGACAGGAACAATAACGGCCGCACGAGTCGAGTGCTGCCAACGATCCGGCCCCGGGACATCTCGCCCCAGGCGCCGGGCCGCAGGCGACAAGGGCGACCGGCGTACACCATTCCCCCTCCGGCTAGCTGCTTCGCCCCCTGGAGGCGAGTCTGCCTTTGGCTGCCGGGAGGCTCCGTGGCCACCACCACCACCACCGCGGCGCTCGCACGGCCCGTGTGTCGGTGTGGTCGGGCATCCGCCCGACGCACCCCCCTCCCCGCGGTGGGGGGCCGCTTTAGCTCTTCCCCCGCCCCGCCCCTCCCCCCCCCGCTGTGCTGGGCCGGAGCTCGATCTGCCCCTCTCGACTTCAGGTCTGAAAGCGGGCCTGTCTTTTGTGTCCGGCCGATCGG